CCCCTGGGGCAACGAGGTTTCATGAGATTCAGAAACTGTGGGGAGACAGGACTGGCTCTGCTCCGGCTGCGAAAAAGGTTCTCTTCATTTTTTTTTTCCTACTGAATTTGCAATTTTCATCGCTTCTTTTTTTCTGCAGAGTGGAGATGTCATGTCCATGTCAGTCGACTCACTTCCCATGAAAGAAGCCTCGTCTATTGGAATACTTCGAAAGGTGAAGATCCCTTTCTTGCACAGTAAAATCTCGGAAAAGTAAAATCGGAATAAATCGTCATTGTTATGTACCAAGTCAGAGGACTCAGTCTATGGATTGCAAATCCTCACTCTGCTGAGACTCTATTGCACTCTCTGGATGATTTTCGAAATATTTTTGAAAAGTTTTAGACTTTTCCGTTCATTCTTGTGCATGAATTGTTTGAAGGAATGGTTTTGAAATTATTGGTCCTGAAAGATTGAAGAAAGACGGATTGAAGCTCGCATATTGGGCCACTATTTGAAGAATTAGTTCCTTTCAACAGCAGTGGAAGCATCTTTTTTTTCATATTTGTTTTGTGAAATGTGGAATATTGTTGGATCTTGTGGTGATAGATGTGCCCCTTTTTTTTTTAGGGGTTCCAGGAAACCGAATCCCATCACATGAACGGAGCCCAAGAAAACGCCCTCGGGGAAATCCAAGAAGCCTCAGTCGGCGAACTCAAGAGCGAAATCCGAACCCTGAAAGGTGCCCTTAAAGAGAAGGACTTCAAGATCCACAGCTTGGAACGAGAAGTGACCGAGTTGAAGAAGAGACTGGATCAGGTTCAAGTCCAATTTGCCCAACAACGGAACAAGTCGTCGAGCGACAATGATCACGATAGCATCATGGAAACTGCCTAACGCGCAAAAAAAAAAAAACCCAATTTAAATATTTACCATTCCTATAGCCCCCCGAATTTTTGACTATCATTCCGATTTTTTTTTTTTCGTTTTTACACAGAAGTCTTAGTCCACGCCGAGGCTACTGTAAGTTTCACATTTTTTACACGCAACATGCTTTCGTTTTATTCGCTTATAGGCAACGAAGGCGATTCTTTTAATCGATAAAAGAATATCTGATTATTTATGAAGACGCTGCTTTCAGTTTCGTTTTTTGGCCTATGTATTTTATTTTTCAGCAATCGGATGAGGGGCATTTTTTCGCAATTGTATCTGACTCGAGTTTGATTGCGGACGGGAATTTTTGTTGTTTTTTTCCTGACGGGAAGTTTTCCGGAACGAGTAGATATTGTCGTCGTCTTTCAGTTGAGATTGAAGAAGCTGAAGTTAAATTGTAAATATGCTACAGGGGGGGGGGGGAGAAAGAAAAGAACAATGGCTTTACAATTTGGGACGGCAGGTTTGAAACGTTGCACGGAATTTTCAACGAGTTACATTTGTCGTGAAATGTACTGTATTGTCATTATTGGTACGGATTTTTTGTTGGTAAAAATTGTAAAAGCGGCTCCCCTTCAGGAAGCATGAGTATATCTGCTGGTGAAACGTGATTTGAGTTGATTACCGTGATTGTGTGAAATTTTTGTTGCTTATTTGAAAGCAAAGAGAAAACTTCGCTTCGAAATCCCCTCTTTTTTTCCTCTCCTAAATTGTTTTGGAACAAGAATTCGTTTTATCCGAATTGGGGTTTTTTTGTTCAATCATTGCGACGTTTTTTTTTCACATAGTTCCAACCGCGTTTACTGCAAAAATCTCATTCTAAAAACAGAAAGAGCGACAGAGAAAAAAAACCAAGACATGGAACAACTAATTGCAACACATTTCACAGGCGATGGTTCTACAAATGCGGCTTTTTTCAAGAGTGAGAAAGAGCACAAAATTTCAATCCTTTACAATTTTTTTTCTCAAAACCATATCACTTTTCGCAGATTCGTCCATCCAACAATGCTGTTGAAAAAAAAAATCCGTCTTCTGAAGAAAATACTACGTCGAATGGCGTTGATTTTGCCAGTTAATCAGCGTTGTCCGGTTTCAGATATTCGGTGCTCCATTCGTCGAGTCCCTTTTTCTGCTGAGAAAAAACCTTGGGGTCTATAGGGTCAAGAACGCATGGAAGATGGCGACACTGGAGCAGCAAAAAAAAGTGCAATTTTGATGTAACAAATCACCTAGGATCTTGTTTGAAGATGCAGCCGATGATTTTCGGCAGTGAAGTCTTGTTTTCCCTCTGGATCTCGCTCATGATTTCTCTTGCAAAGGTGTTTGTGTAGGGCTGACTCTGGATCATTTGACCTCCGAAATAGGTCACCGAAGTTCCGAATGACCTCAGCTTTTCCAGTGCCTTCAAGAAAGACGGAACAATGAATTTTAATCCTTTTTTTGTGAGTATTTGTTGAAAAGTTTGCGGAGCTCTGGAAGAAATACTGAGCGTAAAGTAGTATGAATTCTGATCTTCTTTTTGTCAAATGATACAGTTGAACCTCAATAACTCAAACCTCCCAAAGTTGAATGCCTCACTAAATCAAATTTGCTTCAAGTCCCCTGTCAAGATTCCCTTTGAAACAATGCATTAGAAACCTCCCTACCATGCTTTTCCTCTTAAAACCTCCAACTCAAATTTNGAATGACCTCAGCTTTTCCAGTGCCTTCAAGAAAGACGGAACAATGAATTTTAATCCTTTTTTTGTGAGTATTTGTTGAAAAGTTTGCGGAGCTCTGGAAGAAATACTGAGCGTAAAGTAGTATGAATTCTGATCTTCTTTTTGTCAAATGATACAGTTGAACCTCAATAACTCAAACCTCCCAAAGTTGAATGCCTCACTAAATAAAATTTGCTTCAAGTCCCCTGTCAAGATTCCCTTTGAAACAATGCATTAGAAACCTCCCTACCATGCTTTTCCTCTTAAAACCTCCAACTCAAATTTGTACTCCCTTTGACTAATAATTTCTTGACTCAGGAAAGATAAAAGCAATAAAAAGTAATCTGATGCATTTTGGAAGGAAGTAGAAGACTAAATTTGGCAAATGAACCCCTGCTTCCAAGTTCAGCATCCTGTTCAACTCATTAAAGAAACCAATTATCACCATATACAATTCCAGAATATCACCATTTACAATTTCCTGCAATTCTTCTGTTTCTCACTAGAAAAATGCTTGTTATTACGGTAACTCAAAACCTAAAAAAAACATTGATCTGTGTCACATTTTTTTAATGGTCCATTGAAATTAAACTTGGAGAGGTTCAAGTACTGTGTCATGGTTCCTCTTCCAGTTTTACAGAATTAACTGTTTTAAATGAAGCAGCTCCAGTATAAGAAAAGTGGTCAGCACCTTGGGGTCAATTTGCTTAGTCCTCAACAACATGGGGAACTCCTGCACTTGTCCATCAGTGTCATTGTCTTCTTCATCACTGCTGGGCACAGGGGACCAACACCTCCAGCCCTGCTTCAGATCCCTCTCATCAGAAGGACACCTGTTGAGCTGAGGCCTGGGATCTGCCACAGTGGACAAGGATAAGCACCTGTAGAAGGAAAGTGCTTTCACAAATGGCCTCTTGGTGCTGACACCCTCTTCAAGGCCTGGTGTTGCTGATGATCCACCAGCATTATTATTGCTGACTCTGCGCAGGATGAGGCTCTTGCGATTGGCTTTCACTGCTTTCAATTCACTCAGGGCCTCATGTTGATTGAAGTTCTCAAAAAGGGCCTTGACTCTCTTCACTGTGAGAGGTTTTGGGAGTTCCTTGACATTCACTTCCCTGTTCTTGGGAAGTGGGGTCAAGCTCTCCAAACATTCATCTGGAAAGATGTAAAAGAAAAGCAGGGCAAAGAAAGTTTTAAACTTTTTTTTCAGCAAGTGACTATAGTATAATTGACATTCACTTCCCTGTTCTTGGGAAGTGGGGTCAAGCTCTCCAAACATTCATCTGGAAAGATGTAAAAGAAAAGCAGGGCAAAGAAAGTTTTAAACTTTTTTTTCAGCAAGTGACTATAGTATACAATTTTAAGCATAATTTTGCAAGATTCCTGGAAATTTTGTACTTCCTCACAGAAGTTTTTTTTTACTTTTGGGACCAGAAAAGGCAGGAACTTAACTTTCTTTTTATAATTATTTTGCAGAAAGTGCATGTTTCAATTCAGTACGCTTTGAAATGCAATCGTTTTTATTCAGGAAATTTTGCCAAATCCAGCCATTGTCTCTTACCAATTAGTTTTATTCTGCTGAGGTTTTTTTTTATTAATTTTTGTCTCTTTTGTTTAGCAGCAGGAGCTTTCTGTAGCCCTCCCAACGCATTTTGCAATGTCCAAATTATTTGCTGGGCAAGTCATGAGGCACCATACTTGGTGCATTTTGATTGACATAACTTCTTTTAAATAATGAGACTTACCACAATCATCAGCAGGTTCAGATTTAGGAATGTACCAAAGTACCTAAAGGTACAGGAGTAAGAGGTCTTCAAAAAGACCTGATCTGCACATAAATAGTTCCTTACATTGTCAACCGAGACCACGACGTCCGACCAGACGAAGTCGGAGGACGACTACTCCCATGATTTGCTCCTCAATTGCATTCTTCAGACTCTCAAAGGACCTTGAATCCTCAACCACAAGTTCTTCTTGAATAACATCATCATCTTGGGCCAGCTCAGTCTTCAATTCTTTCACTGAACTATCATCAGCAGCAGGAGTCTCTGCTGCTGATGCTTCAACTGTGGTTGTAGTTTCAAGAANTTGCTCCTCAATTGCATTCTTCAGACTCTCAAAGGACCTTGAATCCTCAACCACAAGTTCTTCTTGAATAACATCATCATCTTGGGCCAGCTCAGTCTTCAATTCTTTCACTGAACTATCATCAGCATCAGCAGCAGTCTCTGCTGCTGATGCTTCAACTGTGGTTGTAGTTTCAAGAATTGCTTCTTCATCTCCTTTTTCACTTGTTGCAGGTGAAGGAATAATTTTCTCAACTATGTTGTCAGCAACATCCATCAAAGGCTCTTCAGCTTGATGAACTTCAGCCACTGTTTCAATCAGGACTGGTTCCACTTTTGGCGCAGTTTCAGCTGCTTCAGGGTGAGGATGAGTTTCATCAAGTTCTGCAAGTGTTGATGACAATTCTTCTTCAGCAGCAAGGGGTTGTTGCTGAGCAGACTTGTGTTTCCTAGGGGCAGGAACAGGTGCATCTCCATCTTCTTCAGCTTCTGCTGAGCTGGTGGAATCTGGACGCAAAAAAGGAACTGCTCCACCTGATGAAAAAAAGAGGAAAGACCGGAAATTGCTCAAGAATTTTCTCACCAGGAAATATATATACGATAGGCTTCCTTGCATTCTGAAGATCATTTTTCCAGATACAGTACTTCATAATCATTTCCAGGCAGTACTTTTCAGTCTTGATCATCAAAAAAGGAAGTATTTCCTAATGAGATTTAATTTGTCAGCCTCTATGACTCCTTAATTGTACAGTGGATTATTTTGGCTTCAGTAAATCAGAGAGCAATTCATGATAAGAATAATGTTGCACACACACTTTCTATATGTGTTTATTCACTTGAATTTTGAAAAACTCACTCAAGTGATTGGCAGCATCATTAATAAAAACTTTAATTTAAAATGTTTCATACATACAGTTTGCAGAAGCAATCTTAATAATTTTTTGTCTTGCTGCTTCAGATAATTGGGAAGCCATGATGTATTTTAATCACATTTGACCTAAACAACTTCTTTGTCATAGCTTACGTATGTGAGAAAAGTTACTTGATTAGCAGACATGTCATTGAATAAAATGCTCACCAAGATTTTTTTAAACATTGAAAATAACAAATGATGTCAACGATTTCCTGCATTTTGAAAAGTTGCAAATACAGTCTGAAACAGTGTTACCAAACCTATTTGGGCTTGTGGGCCAGCAAATTTCCATAAAAGTTTTTGCCAAGTGGCAAATTTTCAAAAAATGTTCTGCAGACCAGCAACGTTTTCAAAATTTTTGCACACTTGAAGAAGTTTTCCCTGAAATACATTATGGCAGGCATTGAAAATTTTTGCTTTTTTGCAAGAAACAAATTAAGTTGAGAAGCAATTAAGCAGGTGTAGTGGAATGTCTTCAAAAATTAGGAAGGTACGTGGGCTTGAACAAAAATTTCAGAATGAAAATTTAAAATAATTTTTCTCATTACATCCAAGGTTGTACAAAGTGTTATTAGGAGAAAAACAAAAGTTTTATTCTTCCCAAGACAATTTTAACTGCAATTGTTTTGCAAAAATTTCAGATAAAGAACTGTAATCTCCTCCATTCATAGTTTTGAGAAATTTATTATCCTTGAGAAATTTTCCTGTGGACTGGCAAACAATTTCTGAATACTGTTGCCAGTCTGCAAATTAAAGGTTGGGGACTGCTGGTCTATACTTTATTCAAAATTGAATATTAAGTCACAGCAGGAGACTGTAACTGCATGATGAAAACTGATTATATAGAAATCTTTCAAATTCATGCAAATAAATACAGTATTAGTTGTTATATAATTATTCTAATAAATCTGAAATTTTGTTGAGCTCAGTATAGGAAAGGTGGAAATGTTGCCTCTTCAATGTCCTTTTCTGTTTCACCTTCATCTCAATTCTATCGCCTCAAATAAGGCATTGCAAAAGCTTTTGAAAAATATATGAACACTTTTGGAAAAGTTTGGGAACCAAAAATATATGAAGAAGATTTTTTTAGGATTCCGGATTTCGCAGAAATAACCAGACCAAAGCTTTTGTGCTTGCCTATCTATTTTGATCAATAAGCACGTGTTCCTTTGTTGTTTTCCTTCGTATATAATGTTTCGAAAGAAAGTACTTACGTTTACGAAGGAACTTTGCGTCTTCCTTATTCAGTAGACTGGACGTCCTTTTGATGTAAACTTAGGAGAATATTGAATACGTAAGTTTCGTCAGACGGTTGCACAATTCCTTCCGGAATATTGAGTCTATATTTGTCTCTGTCCAAACAAACGTGCTGAATTCATGAAAAGCGTGTATCTGATTTACACAGTAATTTTTCAGTGCATGTGATGGAACCGTGGATACAGCAATAAAATCTTATTACTACAAATGCCAATACAACACATTTTTCAGTACAGTAAAAACAAGCTTTTTCTCAAGTCCAGGCAAAAGCTGATAAAACAATCTCTTATTATAAAAAACTTTCCAATTCCAGTAACAAAACTATTGTGAGAAATGTTCAATAGATTCTCCAGGTGGAAATTTCCTGACTAAGGCAGACACTCTGAATTTTCCAGTCTCAAATCTGACTGATAGTATTTTTCTGTATATAGCTGTGTTCAAAAACAAAAATATGTTTTCAAGTGGTTCCATTTATGCACAATCATCTTAATGAAGAGATTGGTACAACTCATGGAATGCATGATTGAAGTTAATTTCTTTCAGGCCATTCAGCAGCTTTCAAATAAAAATTTAAAAAATATGAGAGTGCCAGAAAAATAAGATTCATTGTGAGGCAGGTATTATGCTGATGTGAAAAATTTAAATATAGTCATTAATTCCTATAAAAGCCTGTTATGACAAATCATTCATTAAAACAAACTTTGTCTGAAGTCCCCAAAAGTTTGTTGTAACAAGATGTTAATTTATTTGAAATTAAATGAAAATATTTAATAATGCATATATTTATTGTCCAATTGCTTATTTTGGTAGGTCTTTGAAAATATCATTATAAAAAAATTCTGAAGTCCCCAAAAGTTTGTTGGTGTAACAGAATTTCATTGTAATAAAAAACTGAATGTCAAAAAAATGGTCGAACTCACTGGCACTAACAGGTCTGCTGTGGTCATTGTCATCATGGGATGTGTTGACACTGGATGAAGATTCAGTGAGGATTTCATCTCCAATGCCGTCATCTTCATGCTGGCTGTTTTGATCTTGACCGTTATTGTTGTTTTTGTGTTCGGTCTTGTCCAGCATGATTTCGCGCATGTCGTTGTGCTGTGATGAGATGTCTTCATTGTCATCAAGCTCCAACGCTTGCACAACGGTTCACTACTCCCGCGGTATCAACGGGAAAACCTGAAACCGGTTGACGAGAAACTATAGACCAAGGTGTATGAGACGCTGAGGGGTCAGTGGTCTTGACTTTATTTATTGCATTAAGAATAAACATACACCAGTTATATATATGAATACACTGCTTGTGGGTTACTTTATTCAGAAGCATAGACTTCAACTAGCAATGTGTAAATTTTTGATCACAAAATTTTGTTCAAGGAATAATATTTAAGGTTATTGGAAGGTTTCCTTGAAGAGTTTCAGAGATATTACTGTACATCCATAAATATGGCTATAAAGCAAGAAACTTGCTGTGGGTGTTATTTGGGAGTTAGGCCCAACTGGCATGGCAATGCCCGAAATGGGAAGTTGGATTCTATATATGCAGTACTATATTCCTAAATTATGTGCAGGAATATTTATATCCAGTGGGTCACTCATTGGATGCCAATACTATTCCACTCCAAAATGAGATTTGTATTCAAGGGAAACAATTTGTGAAATCAAGTAAAATAATGTTTGCATATGCTAAGTTTTTTTTCATACTGATTTTGAAATTTGCTTTCAAGGCTTTGAGTGCTTCCAAAAATTAAATGAAAAGTTAATTTAATCTCATTACAAATGTTACTTCTTGCAGAGACTCTTTCAAAATTCTTTACATATATACATTTTTGCAAAGCTTTCCACAGTCTTATGTGAAATATAAAATGTAAAAAGCATGGAATGGCGACATGTATACATAAATACTCCAGCTGATCTTACATCAGGACACAATTTTGCATAACCCTATTTTTATTTGAGTCAGGTGATGTCATGCACATGAATAAAACACTGCAGCCCCATCTGATATTGCCTAATATCAGGTGACCCATTTTATTGTTTTTTTGAGGGAACCCTTGAAACCATGGGGAATCAATGATATGCATCTCAAAATCTGTCTCCAGCATCTTCTCTCTTTAAAAAATACAATAAAACTATTGCTTGACACTTCACAGCTGTCCAGCAAAACTTTTACTTCACTTGGAAACCATCTCATTTTTTGGCACAGTACTGCACAAAAAAAGAATAGGGTAAACCCATGATTTAGTAAATTGGATGCTTGCATGCAAGCATCCTATACAGTTTGACAGATGGGAGGGAAGTGTTTTCCGCTTGAAATGATTGAAGTGGATTTCACTTTCTTTAGTTTCTGTCAGCAGAGATTCCACACTGGTTGCCTTCTTGCGTGATCCAGAGCTGAACAGGTTGACTTGCTGCTGGAACACAATTACCAGAAGCTATAATTGGTCTATATATTATATTCCCACCTCAGCATTGCCTTCAGAAAAACGATTGAGATGAGGGGGAAAAAAAGGGAAGGAAATGGCATCCAATGCCATGTCCTTGTAAGGTTCATCAGTGTACATGAAAAAGCAGGAAGTACTTCCAGCTGTACTACTTTAGAATATTATAAGACATGCCTCAACCTTGAGAGGTTCTGAAGAAATAAAAAAAAATGTTTTGCAACAATTAGAATGCATATAGCAATGTATCAAAATACTCAAAACTGCATTTGGAAGTGGGGAAATAATATCATGGCACACTTTTTGATCAAGATATCCTTTATAACAGTGCTGTAACCTTGCTCTAATATACAGTAGTAAAGCATTTGAAATTCTAATTTTCAAATCATAGTTTTCACTGATTACATTACTTGATGAAAACCTTGGGAGTGAAAATACAGTACAGTATTTTATTCTACTCACGTTTCTTCAAAATCATCAAGCTGTAATTGTTGAGTGTATAAATCAACTGAATGTTGAGTTTAACATGAGTGAACTTGGGACTTGCTTTAAAATAGTCTATTTTTGATACACATTTACATATCTTGCCACAAAAATATTGTAATAATAAATTATTGCTTACAAACAAATGTGTTCTTGAGTTCATGTTTCTAGGAGAAACAATATATTTTAAAAATGTTTTGCTATAAATAAAGCTTTCTATTCCTGGCCCTGGTGTCTTCATTGTAACAAGATTTTATTGTATCACAAAGAAAGATTTATATTTAATGGTTAGACAAATGCATTTATCCTTTTTGTGGAAATCTTCACCAGATATCCTGAATTTGGATGTTTGGGGAAGGCCTGGAACACCAATGCAGGTTTCAAGACCTGTGTTCTTTTTTCCTTGAATAATGCCCCTGGTTAAAGTCAAAGAAGGAGTAAAAACAAGCACTTAAAAATGTCTCTTAGAAAGAAGGACGATTTTAATCATCATCTTATGCAATATGTGTTTTGTTGTGTAGTCTGCAAAATATTTTTTTTCTGTTGATTCAATATTTTGTTATTGGAATTTTATTCTTTAAAAAAATTAGTAGCAGAGTGTGGTTTTGATCCCCCAGACCTCTGGGTCCAAGATGGCTTCATTATTGTAAAAAGATTTTATTGCTTCACAGAGAAAGATTCCTGTTCCATTTATTATTAGAGTATTATCCCTTTTCAATATTCCTTTCAAGATCATGCACCACTTTTTGTCAATTTAATACCACTATATTCAAACAATCCAATGAAGAAGGTACACTATATTATAAACTATATTGAAAATTCATAAACTTTTTTCATCACCTCAGCCTCACATTTATTTTTTCCAATTTTTTGGAGAAGATTATTTGGAAATTTGTTTTTTTCTGAAAGTTACTCACACATGTGCTGGCGTGTTTCCCATTATTGGAAGAAATGAGGGAATTTGTTTCTTGCACCACAGCAGCAACACTTGAGCTCAAACTGCTGGACAAACTGCTTTCTTCATTGATCACTTCCAAACTCATTCCAGGCTGCATTTTTCCGACCTGCTGTTCACTATAAAAAGACAATCGGCATTCCCTTTTTTTTTCTGCCCCCGTCGCTTTTTTTTTTGCACTCCTGCTTTTTCCCACCCACAATTTACTCACTGAAAAAACTCTGGAAGGACATGGAAGAAATAAAATTTATTTGAATACATGGGGAATGAGCAGGAAAAACGTTTTTTAAGAATATCAACCTGTGTGTGAAACCGTTTGCTTTTTTACTGGATTGCGTGCTGAAGTTCCTGAAGTGATAAGATTGTCAACAATTTACTGACTACCGGTCGAATCCCGTTATAACGAATACAGCTAGAAAGATTTTTTTAACGAAATCTTGATAAATATTTTAATTTATGATAATCTGAATATAAGGAAGCGTTAAAATGGAATGCGACTCTTTGAAAATTCCCACAAAAAGTCAAGAAATCTTTGTAATTGCTCAAAGATTTTCGAAGTTGCATTATGTTTTTCTGGAAACATGACAAAGCAAAAAATCGTTGCACAATTTAAAAATTGAGTTGCAATTAAAATGGCACTGAATCACATGAATATATAGATATATATGTATAATTCATGAATATATAGTATCCAAGGAGTATACTTTACTTTTTACTGCGCTCAAAATTTTCCACTGGAGACAACTTTTAATTTTTATGATACATCGACTTACAGTACTTTTTCGGAGAGAATGATTTTTTAACCAATGTTTTTCTGCACTGATTCACACTTTTCTGGTTTTCAGCAGAGAACATGTTGAAAATAATTTACGCTGAGAACGCTTCCAATTATTTGCGTATAGGCTATTACAACGATTTTTTGCAGGTCCATTCACGTTTCTTTTAACGATATATGACTCAGATTTAAAATTAACCATGAAAATGTTTTCATCGAATAATTTAGTAAATTCTCCAGAAATTCATTTTCAGAGAAAATAAACATTGTGAAAAAGTGATGTTGATTTTGGAGAGCGAATTTTCAGACATCAAATTATTTTCACTTCGCCCCATGAAAAAAAAAAATCTCTGAGAAAAAAATGTCGTCACATCATCCATCGAAAGATCGCATTTAATTAAAACACCATGCATGGGAACTACATTCCATACATATGCTAAATAATATTTTCATCACAAAATAAATAAATATTCAATATTATTATGATAATAATCTTTAAACAAAATGCGGAACCACTTGTTCTCGATGAGGAGATTAGGACACCTGTGCACACCACAATATAAAAGCACCGCATTCTCTCACAATCACACGCACTCGCAAAAAAAAAAACAGAAAAAAATGAGATGAAACTTTCACACAAATCCCGCGAATAAATGAAGACGAAATGAATAATCTACAATAATTCAAATATATAATCCAGATGAGAAAAGGCCAAGGTGAATGTGTGTTAATGCCCCGCAGCTGCGACAAGGCCGAGAAGATATGTTTCAGAATACAGTATATATATGAATATATATACTGTATATATATATATTTTTTTTCGCCCCATGGGCAACAGAAGGTGCCTCGAGGCGAAGTCACGTTTCAGTTATATCCAGGCCAACAGCACATAAAAGGCGACAGCAGCAGCAGGGATTTTTTTTTTCTTCTTAAATTCGTGAATAAAACATGAAAAATGCATAGATTTATTTATACGAAAGGAGGTAGGAAAAGATAAGAAATAAAATGCGAGAAGGAGAACAAATCTCCCGTCACGCGAAGAGACGATAATGAAACCCGGTTTTTTTTAAAATCTTGCATAAACGTAAAATATATTCAAATTCGTCGTGTTTTTTCCAAACGAAATTCGACTATATAAACCTGTGAAGCTGTCAATCACTGAATTTTCACGTAATTTTAAAACCGAATTGCAAGAAAAAAAAGTCACTAAAAAAAAACATGCGTAAATTTTACTAGAAAAAAAGTCCAATTATTTAAAAGAAAAATCGCGTTTTCAGCACATCTCTTTGGCTTTTCAAAATTCATGTCTGTCAGTCGTATCTTGAGCGTGAAATTTTTTCAATTAACTGAGAGCATCTCGCGTTTTTTTTTTAATAATTCATTTAATTAGATTTTCTAAGCGACTTAAAACTGTTAAACGCGAAAGAAAACAGGCCCAAATCAATCGAATTTCTTGGAGAAAGATATAGCAGATATTTGAAAAATGAAAAAAATAATTGCTTGCAAGAATTATATTATATTCAAGAATTTATTCAGCAATATTACTTTTGAGCTGCAGATTCCAAGAGAAAACGATGGCCTAAAAACTGAGAACTTAAAAAAAAACTCAGGCTGTTTTTTCAAAAATAATTTGATTTGTCCCGAAAGTATTAAATGTCAAATTTTCGCCGAAAATAAAAAAGTGTTTGGATTCGAATTCAAATCAATCAATTCAAACACCAGCAGCAGCAACAGCAAAAACGCCGGCGGGAAAAAAACAGCAGACGGCAGGTGTTTCACCCAAAACAAAAACCCTCCCCCTCGGGTATTTCGTGCTGTACTGTATATAGTATAAAGGGGCAAAATGTTCCTATAAACGAAAAAAAAAGAAAGACATTATTTTATTTATAAAAAAAGGGGGAGGAGGAGAATTCCGGATATCCTGACTTTTCAAAAAGGGAGGGACGTCGTTTCTGTTGGGGGAGGAGAAAATTGCTGAGTTACACAATCTCCCAAAAAAAAAGTATCTGCTGTCCTTTTCCCCCATTTATTCTCCATCAATTTGTCCTTTTTTTCCTTTTTTCTCTTCCTGTTCAACTATTTCCCTTTTAGATTCGTTTTTCCGATTCTCTGCTGCTGGGAATTATTATTTCATAAGCATGAGCACCTGCTTTTGCTGCAAACTGTGGAACAGTGTGAGGGATATTCTTGATTTTGCAGTGGGTTTAATAACCGGGTTATTGATCCATGGGTTCAGCATTCGCCTGATTATATTGGAAGGCAATGCATTTTGAAGGTTTCTTTTAGTTTTTCTGATTTATTTATTCTTGAATTGACCGCAAAAAATTCTTCGATTTTTGATCAAAAATAAGGCCTCACTTATTCGAAAAAATTTCAAAAAAACAGCGCGAAAATTTGAATTTGAGAGTTAAATTTCGTATATCTTTTTAAAATGACACAAATGTATGCTTTCAAGTTACATAATATAATGACGCTGTAAAAACTTTCAAAAATCAATTTTTGAAAAAATTAGAATTATATTGGGAATATTTCATCATGATTTGAAAACTATGCTTGTTGCGAAATCGGATCATGAATAAATTTTATTCGAATAAATATACAGAAGTTGGGGGTTTTTTCAATTATTATGTTTTAAAATTGGTCATTGACAATTGTTAGCCATGGTTGATTTGAAATTTTAAGAAAATACACAATTTATTTTGCTGACACACTCGTTCATATTGAATTATGTCTTTAAGAGGTCCCAATTGCAGATTAACAACAATTTCTTTTGCAAAATTGTGTAAGAAAATCTTTTTTGATTCATATAAGATTTCAAAGTTGTTACTCATTCCCAGTTCCATTATTGTTGTTTTGAGATTTTACTGTAAATGATGTGAGAGACACACATTTCTTATACTAGGAATTTTTTTTCCTTTTTTCCTGAAGATTCATTACCCCCAGCAAATAATTTGGGCATTTTGAAATGCGTTTTAAACACGTTTCTAGCCAAAAATGCTACGCATAGGTAGGCCTACCTATAAACAATTTTCAAAAATGTTAATGCAAAGATGTCAAGAATAACTTTGCATATTTGCAAGTTTCCTCAATATCCAGACCCTCTGAAAGCAATTTTAAATACTTCAGCTGGTCCAAAAATTTTGTTATTTTACCCTAAACAAAAAAAAACCTACATATACGAGGTATAGTAGGGAAAAAACTCAAAATTTCATGTGTGAAGCATGTAGAGAATATACAAAAAGTTTGCAGTGTTCATTTTGTTTTGCTTGTATTTCAGAAAAATACGGGGTTTGTTGTAAGTGGCAGGATCACTTTTAGTAAAGGAATAATGTTAATATTCAGGCATCTGAATTTGCACAAGTTAATGAACTAAACTGATGGCAGGTCAGAAAGAGTTCCTTCTTATAATAGTGTTTTCATTCAACATTTGTCTGTTTGACATAATTCTTTTATTTCCAATTTCAAGATTTGGGTTGGTTAGCTCATCAGATTCAACTGTATAGTTCAGTTCAGTTATTTTTTGTTTGCTTTTCTTTTGAGCACTTGTCCACTTGTCCTCCAAAGGAATAATGCAGATTTTCTACAAGAAACCAGCATATCTGTATAGGTCAGGAAGAATTCCCAAGATTCCTTTCCTGATGGTCATTCATTGACAGGAAGCACAAAAATTGAGAATGTCAAGCCAACTTCCTCTTGCAGTCTTTAAATAAGCATTCTGACCTTTGCTAAACTTTATTTTTTTGTCAAATAACATAAAATAAGTTGCAGCCAGATGTAATGGCTTAGCCACTTTTGGCATACATTGAGATATGTTTGATTGTAATACAGTTTATAGTTACCACTATACAGAATCTCTTTCACAATTCCATGATAATGGAAAAAATTGTCAAGGGTTGCACTGATATAAAGATGAGCAAGATATACATTCATATTGCAGTGAAATCTTGTTGCAACAAAGCCGTTTTTAGGAGCTGAAAAACCTTTGTTATAACCACACATGTGTTGCAAATCAATTTGAGTACAGTGGTATCAGCATATTGTTACAATGAATCTTGCTAAATAACTATTGGGTATAGATGTCGCCTCAATATAAGATAGTCTCAAGCTGGATTAGAATAAGAGAAAAAGTGCACAAATAAATGATGGACTCAATCTACAGTGATCTTGTCTACAAGGACTTTCTCTGCATATGTAAATTTTGTTTAGTTCCATATGGGGCTCATTCCATTAATGCTATGGGGGTTGTCTGCAATAAAATTCTCTCTGTCAGAATTTTTTCTGGTCCCTCAAATTTTGTCATGGGAAGAGTCTACCATTAATCACTTTCAATAAACTCATTCTTCAGGTCCTTGTCCAATAGCCAAAATGCATTGGTAACACTTGGGTGATGGAGGTGGGTTCCTTTGCATCAAGCAGCAATGCTGGGATTTTTTTTGCAGACTTCTACA